TATCTTAAATTTTAATTGGATGTACTGCCTCCTTTTTTGCACTAGAGGCTGCTCTTAATACATTTCAGTGAAAAATGACTCAACGTTGTGCTTTCCTTCAGCCTTTATGAGTTAATTTTGTTTTTTGTTTACTTATTTGATTTTGCACAGTAAGTAGTTTTCTGTTTTTCTTTTATTTTTATCACTGCATTGTGTTATAGTCACAACACTGTGCTTGAACACCATCATTTTAAAAACCTACTATGGAGACATTGATTATAAGAACTGGATAGATTACTTTTCCAAAAGAGCTGGCAGGCTACAGTGGCTGGAATGTTGTGTTTGGCTAGAAAAGATCCTGGATGCTCCTCTGCTAGCTATTTTTCTTGGAATGTGGACTTAGGTAAGTCAGAGGATCCAGTGGGCACTGCAGCCTTCCACTATTTTCCTTATTGTAATTGTGTGTACCTTCAAGTCATTTCCAACTTATGGCAACTAGATCACTGGAATTTCTTGGCAATATTTTTTAAAGTGGGTTTTGCCATTGCTTTTCTCTATGACTGAGAGTATGTAGCTTGCCCAAGGTTACTCCATGGTAATTTGCACAGTAGCTGAGAGGAAAATGGATTTCCCAAGCTAGTCTAGGTGTCATACAACATATTTAGAAGGTGTTTGGTCTTGAATAGGCAATTAAGGTTATTAGTGTTACAAATGAAGTGCTTCTGGAGGAGGTGAAATCTACCACAACTAGTTGGTTGATATAGATCAGCCCAGGTGCCTGTGTTTTTGGACACTCCTGGTGGGGGTGTGGCTGTGGGAACTGTCATGAGGAGCATTTGCACTTTCAAACATAAGCTTCGCGTTTAAGTATTATGTTACTGTCTTAGCTTATCCTCCTGGGCAGCCAGCCAGCTGCCCCAGGAGGGAGATCCAGAACTACAGGGAGGAGGGCAGAGTTATGGTGCTACACAGCCAGCTTTGTAAGCTCCATCTTATTTTCTTGTAGGCAAAAGAGATGAACAATGCTCTTCTATCATCAGTATTGAAGCAAGACTACTATTTTGTCTTCCAACAAATGAACAAGTGGTACTTTTGCCTGCATTTCACCTCCATCATCACATATTCTGTACTTGGTTCCCCTTAAAATAACAGGATCATAGAGATGGAAGAGATCACAAGGGCCATGGGATTATGACTGAATAATTATGTCCACAGTTTGTCAGTGTGGGTAGTGGGAAGAGCAAGAAGATCTGAACAGGCCCTTTCCCTTGTGGAGCAGGGGATCTCCCCCCCCCCCCCAATGTATATAGTCATCACTAACCTTTCTTAACCTCAAGACTTGGCCACAGTGGTCCATGCTCTGGTTACATCTTGAATAGACTACTGCAACACACCCTATGTGAGGCTGCCTTTGAAGACTGTTTGGAAGCTTCAAGTAGTCCAATGGGTGGTAGCCAGGTTGCTCACCAGAGCAGCATAAAGAGAGAGGACATCTCTACTGTTGCATCAACTCCACTGGCTGCCAGTCTGCTACTGAGCACAATTCAAAGTGCTAAGCCCTAAACAACTCCGTCCCGGTTTACCTGTCAAAATTAATCTTCCTTTATGAGCCAGCTAGGAGGTTAAGATCATCTGGGGAGGCTCTGCTCTCAGTCCCACCTCCTTCGCAGGTGCATTTGGTGGGGATGAGAGATAGGGTCTTTTCAATGATGGCCCCTCGGTTATGGAACTCCCTAATGAAATCAGATCTGCCCCCTCTCTCCTGACCTTCAGGAAAAGGCTAAACCCATGGCTATGGGATCAAGCATTCAGTTAGTAACCCACTAGAGAATTATGGAATAGTGCAATAACAATTTGGAATGGCAATGGATTATGATTTTAATAATATTTTAAGGTTTGATATGTTTTTAATTATTGTTTTAATATATATGTTTATTTTTATTATGTGTGTGCGTTTACATGACATCGAATCGTTGCCAATATAAGTAAGCTGCCTTTAGTCCCCTACGGGGTTGAAAAAGGTGGGGTATAAATAGGGTAAATAAAATAAATAAATAAATACTATCAGTCCTAGCCAGCACAGAACACAGTGAGGATGATGGGAAACGTAATCCGGCCACCTCTGGAAGGCCACATGTTTTTCATTTCTGGTAGAAGTAATATTCTACATCTTGAGTTAGTTTATAGATCAAACCTACTAAAGGATAAATGAGTTTATGCCTTATCTAAAATCACCTCTGTTAGGAACTGGCCAACCTTTTGCAGCAGCTGAAGCTTCTGAACTATCTTCAAGGGCAGCCTTCAAAATGAAATATTGACATGTCAAGCCCTCTTATCCAAGTAACATCGCTGCTTATTTTTCGCTACTGTGTGATATATCAGAGAAGACACCTTTTAAAAGAATAGACAAATGAATTTTCAAAATTGGAAACACTTTATCATGATCTTTTTCAGTGATTAAAAAAAAGTCCTGCACATTTCTGATACAGCACCTAGCCAGCAGCCTTTGCATACTGATTATAAATATATGGACTTTGAAGCCACTGTATACATGACTCTTATTGAAGTAATACCAGTGTTAAAATGCAAGTGATCCCAGTCCTGTCTATCATTAAAACTGTTTTCACTGTGCAGTGTAGTGATTGAAAAGATGCCACAATGTTCCCACAAACACTTTTTTTGTCAGCTGTCAGTGGAGCACCATTTTTGGAAATGTTACCTTTGAAATATACGACAACTTCCCAAATCCCCCAACCAGCATGAATAGCAATTTTTTCAAACTCTGGATAAATATTGCAACCCTTCATCCTCCACTATTTAAATAAATGGTGAGGTATATTAGATTCATGAACTGGAGCTCTAAATCTTTTACAATTAGCTCTGCTGTTTGGTCTGATGGGAATCCTAGTCCAGTGACATTTGGAGAGCCACACATTTCCTGTTAGGGTTGCCACATCAGGATAAATTCAGGTTTTGCAATTTCAGAGATGACCTGAAAACCTGAAATCTAGGGACAGTCTCTTATGATGTTGCATGAGGTGATGTTTCAAAGGCAATATTACAAGGGGTAGCCCTTGATCAGATAATTTACCATGATATATTAAGCATAAACTATAGTATACTGTTCATAAAATTGAGTTTAACAAAAGAAAATGTATATACACATACTTTCAAGGCAGTGCTTTTACCCTGAGGATCAGAGAAGAACCTCAGGGCCAGAACTAGAGAGCCAAGAACCCTGCTTTAAAAATGGCAGGTGAAAAAGACAAGCTGAGCAATTTTTGATCTCCTTCTGATACTGCTTCAGAATATATATCTTTCCTTTAAAGTAAATGTAATTCCTGGTCCCATGTAGAGCAGACCCACCAAATCAACAGAACTTATCCCCATTGATTGATTGGATCTATTTAACTAACTAATAACCAGATTTAAGTCTAAGTACTTGGAATCATTCTATTAAGACAGAAATGCCTTGCTATCTGTGTTTGAAATTAGGACTGTTTTGCATATTCTTTTGTGATACCAAGTTGACCCTTCAGACCTAGTCTTAAAACCTTATATCCTTGCTGGATGGGGTTGATGGAAACTGTAGGCAAAGAATACCTGGGAAGCCAACATTTCTCCATCCATGCCAACAGGTTTTCCAGATATGCTCTCTCCTACACATGCTGACACAAAGCTGCCTTACACTGAGTAGGACTACTGCTATATTTAATTCAGCATGTTTATTCAGACTGGTAGGGGTCATCTAGGGTTGCAGGCACAGGAATCTCCTAGCCTATAACTACTTAAGATTTTTGTTTTACCTGAGATTCTTGAATATGTGAGCTTCTCTATGCATAGCATGTTCTCTTCTACCAAGCTATGGCTTTTCTGTGCTATTTGTGATGTCACGTGCGTTCTCAGACCATGCTATGTAGAATTTTTCATGAAATAGTGAAAATGACTGAAAAATTAAGCCTGGTGGCTATTAGGCTTGGGCCTGAATCAGTTTGAATGAAAATGATTTATAATATTCAGTGGTCCATTTCATATAATCTCTGAAAACAGAAAGGATGGGAAGAAACCAAAAAGCTCAGCAAAATTGATTAAGAGAGCCAATTACTGGAGAGGATAGAGTTAAGTCTGCAATATACCCAAGACAGAGGTCTGCTGCAGGGACTGTGGGGCTTCTGGAGAAGATGAGATTATTGCAGTGCCTTTTCCCCCTCCTCTGTCCATTTCTTTTTGGAAAGTTCCCTAGGCTCCTCCTTGAGAGGGCCCTGTTGGGACCTCACTTTCCCAGCAGCATTTGCATAGGGCGGGCATTGAAAAGTCTCTAGTTCCTGGGTTGTTGTAGGTTTTTCCGGGCTAGTTCTTCTCTGAGAATGATGGAAGTTGAAGTTTCTCTCTGTTTCAATGCTCTGATTGGCTAAGAATGGGCACAACCAGTGACTACAACTCCCAGAACCCTCTCTTGAGGTTTATCTTAATTTTAAAAATGTTATGGTTATAACTTAAAGTAATTTAAAAAAATCAGTAGACTGTTGAATTGTTTTGAAACTTGACAGGCTTGCAGTTGTAAATGGGGTCTAAAACCAAGGTAAGTTTTATGTAGATAGGCCTTAAAATGGCCGAGGATTGAACCTTTAAAATTTCCCATTGTAGCCAATGGGCTGAATCTTTGCCATATGAAAACGGCAACATCCCTCCTGATTCGAGTAACAAAATGAGGGGTTAGCTGAAAATGGACCCCAAAATGGTATGCCTTTGACCAAACTGCACACCTCTAGTGGCCATACAAATACAACAGAGAATAATATTTGCATGAGAACTTATTTTATGAAGTTACATTAGGTGACTATTTAACTTCTTTGGAGAGAACATATCCAATCTGATTTTTCTACATGGATTCAAGAGGCTAAATTACCTCTCTTTTTCTCTGGGATGGATTGGTGTGAAGGTACCCAGAGTACATAGAACAAAAGCTATTTTGTATAATCAAAGGTGTTATTTTTAAAGTTGTTAGTATGGTTAAAACACACACCCCAGTGATGCTGATGATGATTGAGATATTATAATTACCCATGTGATAAAAATAATAATTTTTCACTAAAAAATGAGAACATATGTATTAATAGACAAGACAGGATCTAGAATTGCCTGCTGGCAAGTCTGAAGATGACAGTACAATAAATTAATGTATCATGATAATGATAGATTTACCAGAATTTGAAAGTAATATTTCTACAAATTCTCATGTTTTGTTGCAGTTTGAAAATAAGAGTCCTGAGAGTTTATATAAGATAAAAAGAAGTGCATCTTATTATGCAGAGCTGGATTTGTTTTAACTCCCAAACCATACTGCTAACTCTTCTCGGTGTTGCTTGAGCCACTCAATATTGCTCTTCAGAGTTTTGCAGACGGGAGTCCTTTTCTCTGGATGCTTCCCCATCTCCATCATTTAGAATGCTTCCAAATGAAATTTTCCATCATTTGGGAGAAGAGAAAATAAGCCATAGAGTGTGAGCGAATCAATATTTTTATAGGATTGAAGCATTGAGATGTTGCCAGGGATTAACACATTTGTGTGTCGGCTTGACCTCTGGAAATTTTTCAGTGCAACGTCTATAATCCTGTGGTTTCCCGCATTAGGTTTTCATTCATCAGACTATCTTACCGAGCTTAATGTTCATGATTGGTCATCCTCATAGACAGTATGCGTGGAACTACTGAGTTATGCTTTGAAGTGATTTTGAATGCTTTAATGAGCGGGTGATTAGGCCAGTTGTGACTCCACTTCTTTTTCCGAAATGCCCCCCCCCCCAAACTGGTTCATAACATCTACAGAGGGGACATCAGCTGATAGAACTGGTTTGGTGACATACAATTAGACCAGGCTCAATTGCACCCAACTCATCCATGTCAGCTATTCAGTTGGGGTCCCCCCCCCCCTCTATTAAGATTGATTTTACCTATGTTTTATTCTGACCTGTGTTGTAAATTGTCTTCGGTCTCTTCTTGGGAGAAAGGTGCAGTACAAATAAATGAAAGGAAGGAAGGGACTCCACACACACCATCATAGAAGTGTCACGTAACGCACAGGTTAACAGAGGCCTATGCAAATGTTATGTTACATTAGGCCAAGTGAGATAACCATCTCAAATACGAGCACTGGCAGGTGATGTGAGGCTTTAAAGCTGCTATCTATGCTGAAAGAAGTGTTGAATCCACTTTGGGGATCAGCACCTTGGATAAACTTTTAAAGCCCTGATTAAAACCTGGAATAGATTCTTCACCCACTGACATGGGAACTACTAGATGGTGGTGAGTGGCAGATGCTGTAGTGCAATATAGACAACCTCTAGCTCTTCTTCCTGAGCCCTTTGGCCATCCCTCTCTCTTGGATTAAAATTGGTCTCTATCATCCTGCTTACAATTTACCTTCTGAACCAGTTGACTGCACTCAATTGTGGCCTCCATTCCACTGTCAGTGTTCAGCCCAGTCAGATTCTATACTTGTGATGGAAATGGTGCTGTCACTCGTTCACCTTAGACAGCTAAATCTATCTGGCCAATTCTGATGCTTTAAAAAAGTATCAGAATGATCTTGATCAGGGTAATGTATTCCCTACGCCCCTCTAATACATCCATGAGGAGGAGAAACTAGAAGCAGTTGAATCAAATTTATCATTACGTTTCAACAGAACCATTCACTTTCGGACAACAATCTTTCAGACCATATGGCAACTGCTGGCTCAAGACTCTGGAAGTTGCAGACCAAAAGAGTACATTTTCTAAGTTCAGCATGCAAACTGGATAGGTGAAGTCTAGAAACCTTTACCTGCCAAAACTGGAGCTCTGTGTTGAAAGTTCCTGTTATTCTTGATGGTAGGCGCCCAAGGTTCCTGTCATTGAGCGTGTATCTGGAAAGAAGAACATAAGCCAATGAGACCCTGTGTGATGTAATCATCAAAATTTCAGATTAGAACAATTTGCTTGTTGAATTCCTTTTGATACAGGGATTTCATATTCTAGCATTAACTCTTGTTTTATTTTAGATTGCCTCAACAGAGGATTTTCAATATAAAAATCATTCGGAAGTGCTTTACCAGTGTCATCTTCTGTACAGTATGAGCAAGAGTTAGTTAAAGTGCTATGCCATTATATTTAAGAGATTCTCTACCAATGTGCCACTTGCTATTTTTGCTCCTGCTCAGTAGCTTTCCCGCTGGAATTCCTCTACCACCTTAATAACTGGAACAATCAATTCACATCTGCTGACACAACCATTACTCTCTGAAGAGGATGATGTTTCCTCTTTGAACATACTGGGGCGAACTAGGAGTCTAGATTCTTGAGAAAGTCTATTGTCCTGATGGCATTATTCTCATCCAAATATCAGATTAGGAGAAGGAGTATGCAATAGGTCCTTTATATTATGATCATTGGGATGCAGAATCCCTGCAAAAGTGGAAAAACCTAATTAAAATCACTTGTTTAATCTGAGAGAACACCTCTAGGAACTGTTAGTCTTCCAGCATGAGACTCTATTCAACTTTCACTAATGTTGACCAAGACTTCCAGCATGGCTCTATGGACAACTTCTGGCAGATGTTGCCCATAGAGTCATGCTGAAGGATCTAGAGATCCCTACAGATAAAGTATTAATGAAATCTGTGAATCAAATCCAAAAAAGTTAAACTTATAAACGAGGAGGAGACTCTAGAGCTTACCTGCTGACTAAATATTCCCAGTTGAGGCGTACCCAGTCCCAAACCATGGTTTTTCCATAACTATTTAAGGAGATGTACCGCAAAACATTGAACACATCTTGACTTTTAATGAGAGTTGTGTTGTAGATGCACTTTAAAAATCTAAAGCAAAACAGACATGAAGTGATTACACAAGATGATAAGTATTTCATTAGGGCTGAATGGGAAATTAGCTATGCACTGCATCTCAAAATAAGCTTTCACCAAGATTAATTTGTACGAAACATGAAAGATCTTTTAATTTTTTAAAACACACATAGAAAAACAAGAACCAATCCTGTTTCTAGAGCTTGTGCTCATAAAACTAAATTCTTCAAAATGTCATTTGGGAAAGGCTTAGTTCACATGGAGAATAGGAAGCATCAAATTAAATGTCCTTTGATATTTCAACATGGTACATTTTCACACCAAATGACAAATAGGTAACTATCCACTGATCCAATGCATGTACAGTTTGGAAAAGTTATTGTTCGGACTATGATACCAATAATGTCCCCAGTCAACTGGGAGCTGTAATCCAAAAAATAACTTTTCTAACTGATAAAGTTTATAGTGATCTATGATGTTGGATCTGAGTTATCTTCTTCCACACTGTTCTTGATTAAAACAAACACAAGGCATCAGTTCGCTACCGTGTTACCTTCTGTGTTTAACAGCCAGGTACATATTCTATGGGGATTCTGCAAATAGAAACTTTCTACATTTCTCTTCTTTAAAAACAGCTAAGGGCCTCCCAAAATTGGACATGGGTGCTGTGGGTCAGAGAGGAAGTCTAAGCATTTCCCACCATGCCATTGCTCTGATCAAAATGACTCCCTATCTCTTATTAGCTTGTAGCATCTTCCATGGGACATCCGTTGAGGGAACTGTCCCGGTGGCACAGGTTTAAACCCTATGCCAAGGGCCTAACTCAAATCAAGACATCACATTTGCTTCAGAAATGAACTGTCCACATTTCATAGTATCATAGAATCACTGAGTTGGAAGAGACCTTGTGAGCCATCCAGTCCAACACCCTGCCAAGAAGCAGGAAAATTGCATTCAAAGCACCCCCTACAGATGGCCATCCAGCCTCCGTTTAAAAGAAGGAGCCTCCACCTCACTCTGGGGCAGAGAGTTCCACTGCTGAACAGTTCTCACTGTTAGGAAATTCTTCCTAATATTCAGGTGGAAATTTCTTTCCTGTAGTTTGAAGCCATTGTTCTGCATCCTAGTCTCCAGTGCAGCAGAAAACAAGCCTGCTCTCTCCTTCCTATGACTTTAATTTATCATGGTGTTCCCTTGTAACATGCATTTTGACTGTGAGATATTTGCACATAAAGCTAAACAGGAGTGGTCTTACTATTAGGCAAAGTGAGATAACTACTTCAAGTGGCAGATGTGGGATAGCAAGAGCAACCTGCTTGAGAATTTGAACATTTTACTTTTTTGGCCTATGAGTCCAAAAAAGTATGGCAGGGGGTTAGACGAAAGGCCGAACAGGGGATAGGGTTACAGCCTGTGTTAGATGGGGTTACACTCCTCCTTAATACCAGGTTCGCATTTTGAGAGTGATCCTGGATTAATCGCTGAGCCTGGAACCCCAGGTCTCGGCAGTGGCTGGGAGAGCTTTTGCACAATTAAAACTTGTGTGCCAGCTGCGCCCGTTCCTTGGGAAGTCTGACTTGGCCATGGTGGTCTACACTCTGGTTATATCCCGATTAGACTACTGCAATGCTCTCTACATGGGGCTGCCTTTGAAAACTACTCAGAAGCTTCAATTAGTCCAGTGGTCCTATGGTCGGCAGCCAGGTTCACTCCCTGTACACCACTCCTTTGTTACACCAGCTTCACTGGCTGCCGATTAGCTTCCGGGCATAATTCAAAGTGCTGGTTTCAACCTTTAAAGCCCTAAAACAGTTCTAGCCCAGTTTACCTGTCTGAACATATCTCCTGCTATGAACCATCTCGCAGCTTAAGATCATCAGGAGAGGCCCTGCTCTTGATCCCGCCACTCTCGCAAACGCGGGGACGAGAGACAGGGCCCTTCTCAGCAGTGGCCCCCCATCTGTTGAACTCCCTCCTTAAGGACATCAGGCTGGCCACCTCCCTCCTGTCCTTCAGGAGACAACTGAAGGCCTGGCTGTGGGACCAGGCATTCAACTAGAGGCATTGACCAGACACTTGGAAAGGAAACTTGAACATTATGACATTGGATTTGTTTGGCTGGATCTTGGTTTTAGCGGCATGTTAGTTGAATGTTAAATGAATTTTTTTGATGATTTTTATAATGTTTTAATCAAGTTTTACTATTTTTAATTGAATGTATATGTTGACAGCATCACTGATGCTTATGTAAAGCTGCCCTGAGTCCCCTTGTGGGAGAAGGGAGGGATAGAAATGAAGGAAATAAATAATAAATAAATAAACGACCAATTGGAAGTTGCTGCTTGATCGTTATTTGAATATATCTGATCTTTTTATACCATGTAGCACTTTGAATGCAAAAGCTAATCCATGCTTTTAATATGAAAAATCAGCAGTGTTTCCAAACAAACCTGTCCAGCAGGGCGATGTTTTTCACTGATGCCAGGCCATATAGCAACTTCTCCTTTTCTTGGGCCAATGGTGTGTTTAGATACTTCTCAAACATATATTCCCAGGCTTGCTCACTGCCAGAGTGTTGCATCCCAAAGCGGTAAACCAAGAGTCGGAGATTCACATCTAGGCTATTGTTTAAGAAAATGACATTGTTGAGGAGGAGGCATATCTTTCACCTTACTTTGTGTTTGTTTGCTGTGTGCTTGTTTGAGTGAGATTTATATACATTCACCTTGCTCCTTTTAGCCATTCGTCAAATAAACGAGATGCATTACCCAAAGCCTCTGGATCATTCATGGCACATGCAAACTCTAGAACTGTTGTACGTAGGAGACTGGAAAGAAAGAAAGGGAAACGGTTTCATTAGTTTTGGATAGGTCTCATTTTAGACATAGTCAATGAAGTCAATACAATTTGCTTTGTACACCAAACTTGTTTTCTGGAAGAGTGGTTATATATACTTCATAGGATTAGGTAAAGTAAAAATTTTCCCTTGACATTAAGTCTAGTCATGTCTGACTCTACAAGTTGGTGCTCATCTCCATTTCTAAGCCTAAGGGCCGGCATTGTCCATAGACACCTCCAAGGTCATGTGGCTGGCGTGACTGCATGGAGCACTGTTACCTTCCCGTGGAAGTGTTACCTATTGATCTACTCACATCTGCATGTTTTTGAACTACTAGGTTGGCAGAACCTGGGGCTAATAGTGGGAGCTCACCCTACTCCCTGGATTCCAACCACTGATCTTTCAGTCAGCAAGTTCAGCAGCTCAGCAGTATAACCCGCTGTGCCACCGAGGGCTTCATAGGATTACCAAGTGAAAAACACAACAAGACTTCTGTACTTTTAATGAAGAAGTGAGCAATTTCAGCAAAGCGGAGGATCTTTTTAATCACAGAACTCTCCAGAAACTATATGAACTACCAGAAAAAGAATAAACCTGCCAAGTAAGCAGAAGTCTACTTCTGGTTCTCAATAACGTGTAGGCTTTTAAAAAAAATATTAAATGCTACAAGAAGGCTGTGAAACCTATTAAAAATTAAATTGTTCCACCAGAAGGCTGTTGCTGGTATGTAACATCTACACACACACTTTCTTCTTACATAAACATAGAAATATATAGTATCTATTGATGTTGACTGAAAGGGAGAGAGGGGTGAAAAAGTAGAATTGACAAGGGGCAGGCCCGTAGCTAGGATTTCGTTTCGGGGTGTGTGTGTGTGTGTGAATTTTTTTCAGGGGGGGTTTCGGGGGGGGGCTGAATTTCGGGGGGGGGGGGCTGAGTCTGAGTGAAAGAGGGTCTAGCCTAGCAAACCTTTTGTATCATTACCCCAATACCCCCATGCATATGGGATATATTGAGTATGGTGATCAGATCATGATATGAATAAACATAACAGTTTAAATAATGCACCAGTAACGCCTTTTCGTGAACCACCATGAGAATTACGGGGGGGGGGGGCTGAAGCCCCCCAAGCCCCTCCCCCCCCGGCTACATGTCTGACAAGGGGGATAAGTGATTGGCTTAACTTGAAGCTATAATTACTCTCTCTTTAGCAGGGCAGCAGTAACTGCAGACTTTGGTCACTGCAGAAAGAGACAATGAATGCCAACTTCTAACCAAAATAATGTACACATGTGTATGTTGCGGATAGAATGCCAGCCATCGGATCACAGGATTCCATAGGCCATAGCCATAGCTGTGCTATAATTCTGTAGTGTGAAAGGGTGATTCACTGATCAGCGATTTTGCACTGATTGTTTAATCTTAATGAGTCTGGAGCCAGCATGATATACTGGTTTGCACATTGGATTCTGACTCTGAAAAACAGAGTTTGAATCCCTGTTTAGCCATAAAAGCCCACTGGGTGACCTTGAGTGAGTAACGTGGTCTCACTCTCAATCTGTCCCAGAAAACCCCATGATAGCTTTGCCTTAAGTCAGAAATGACTTGAAGGCACATAACAACAACAGCAATTTGTCTGGCTGCTTTGAAATAGACATGTAAGATGTTTCTATCTAATTATTATGGAGAGAATTTTTGCATTTATCTACAGCTGAAGGTTTTCAAATAGAGAAGGGACTGATGAAGGTTGGTAGTAATGGGTGCTGGAAGGCATATTTTGAATTCAGAAAGGTATGACAAATGACTGCTCAGGATGGTAGACATATGCAATGGGAAGAAATCTTTTACCTATTAATGTGATCTCCATCATTCTTCCATCCTAGTTGATCTGCAATGGGCTTGACCAGGCTACGGAAATATTCCTGGAATACAGACATAGTGTTAGTGACCATTGTGAAGTTCCAGATAATAACATGTTCAGTGATTTCCTATGATTTTTAAAATGTGAAAAGCAAAGGCATGGCAACATTTTCAAACAAATGGTTGGTTAAGAAATGAGGCAGAATAAATTAAACCAGGGTTTTAGTGATATCCGAAAGCATGCAAATGTGAGTAGATCAATAGGTACTGCTTTGGCAGAAAGATAATGGCACTCCATGCAGTCATGCCAGCCACATGACCTTGGAGGTGTCTATGGACAATGTCGGCTCTTCAGCTTAGAAATGGAGATGAGCACTAAGTCAGACATGACTAGACTTAATGTCAAGGGGAAACTTTTATCTTTACCTTTAGTGAGCCTGATGCTACAGCATTTTGTTCCCTTCCTGTTTCAGTCTATTGAGACTGATTCTCAGGAATTGGGTAGGATGTCAATATTTGAATGGTTGTCATGTAGACGATGGAACAAACTTAATTTCTGCTGGATGAATTCAAATTCTAAAAATATATTTTCCATCTAAACATTTGGAAGACCTATGAGAGTGTGACTTGCTCAAGGTTTTTTTTTTTTTTGGTCGTGTCAGGAGTGACTCCTGGTGTGAGAGAATTGGCCGTCTGCAAGGACGTTGCCCAGGGGACGCCTGGATGATTTGATGTTTTGATGTTTTTATCATCCTTGTGGGAAGCTTTTCTCATGTCCCTGTATGAGGAGCTGGAGCTGATAGAGGGAGCTCATCCCCCTCTCCCTGGATTCGAACCTGCGACCTGTCGGTCTTCAGTCCTGCCGGCACAGGGGTTTAACCCACTGCGCCACCGGGGGCTCCTTGCTCAAGGTCACATTGTGTGTTTTCATGGCTGAGCAGGGACTTCAACCCTGGTTTCCAGAGTCATCGTCCAAAACTCAAGCCACTACACCACACTGGTTCTTTTTTAATAGAGATGAAGATTGAATGTATGTTGGCTCCTACACCAGCATAAATATGACAGTGTAGGTTCTGGCAAATGAGGGAGAAGCCTTAAGCAGCAGAAGCTATGAAGAAAATCAAGAAGTGGAGAAATAAGTTGCTGAAAATAAGTGTTTGCCTGCCTTCATAGTGCTACCATTTCAAAATCCTACAAATAGTTCAATTGCTATGGTAATGTATCAAAAGATTTCCAGACAGTATACTAAAAAGAGAATCTATTTTTAATGGGCTAAATTTAGTTGGTGCACCTTTAACTCACCAGATCTTTGCACTGGGTGGAATTTCACTAAGATGGGTATGAGTGCGGCAAGAACACAATCAACAGACTATTCCTCATCCAACTGTCATTATGTCTAGCCAAATAGTCTCCCAGCTACGTACATTACAACTTTATCCATTGTTATCACAAAAGTCTATGTTCTGTTGTGTCAAGAGAACTTATCCCAGTATCCTATTATCTATAGGTAAAAATTCTCTTTTATATTTATGCTAAATGAGAAGAACTGTAGAATTATTAGTTTCTATACATCTTGTATAGCATCTGGAGAGTGATCTCTTCTTTGGTTATGCCAGGTCACTGAAGATAGGAGCACTGTGCACTCTTCATGCAATAGAATGCCAAACATTACTGAGGTGTCTGCATTTTTGCAGAAAGTTTAAAATGTTATGTTTAAGTAGAATGACCACAATGTGTTGTCAAAGGTTTTCATGGCTAGAATCAATGGGTTGCTGAGTTTTCTGGGCTGTATGGCCATGTTCAAAAAGCATTCTCTCCTGATGTTTCACCCACATCTATGGCAGGGATCCTCAGAGGTTGTGAGGTCTAAAATCAGCTCCATATATTTGCTGGGGTTGGAGTCACAGGGCTTTCATCACAGGGGAAAGCCAAGGACTAAAGAAATGGAAAAGCTGCAAATGAATACATTGCTATTTTCTTTCTTAACAAAACTTCTGTCTGGAAATCACTAGGTTCTCCAGCACGATTCTAGAGTTAACTTCCACTGGAAGCTCACCACAGAATCACACTGGAAGACCTAGGAAGGAATGTCTAGTTCCTCCAGTATGATTCTATGCTCAACATCCTCCCGCATGACCAGAGGAAGTTGAACATGGCCACACTGAAGGACCTAGAGATTCTTAGAGGCAACATTTTAATCAAATCTGTGAACAATCACATCCACAAAAACCAAAATCGCTTATGTGGAAAGAGTGATATGGAGAAGCCATTCATAACTGATTGTGGCCCAGAATATAATCCTACCACTGTCTAGTTATGAGGGAGTGGGGCCTTCATCATGACATTTTAATCATTTTTCTTAAAAAAAAAAATAACTTCCCAAGATCTCCATAAGCCAGAATAGCAGTAGAAGCCAAGATGAAATCCCCCAAAAGTAACTTTGCAAGATCTACATATGCTTGGCATCATATAGCAAAACTGCCACCATCCTTTCACAAGAGTAACATATCATCAGACTTGGATGAATCACAATAGTTGCATCACTGCAAAAAAACAAAAAACAAAAAAACAATAGCAATATCAATGAACAGAATTTAAAAAAAACTGAGGGAGGACCCTAGAGTGGGAAGAAGCCCCCAAAACAGCCTACTAAGAACGAGCTAGACACTGAATACCAAATGTCTTTTGGGGGGAAGACAGAAAAATATTGAGTGGAAGAGAATATCAGAAATGAGAATATACTTTGTTGGTAGGAACCCCAAACAAGACGAAAACACTCCATACTGCAACAATTTCTTGCAGGGTCCACTTCTAGCTCAATATGATTTTTAAATTTAAATTATTTATTTGCCTGCCCTTTGCTTAACATAGAGGAGGCTCAGATCATAGAACTGAAACCCTATTGGCAATATGTTTTTTTAAAAAAACCCACACAAGTTGTCATGGAAATACGCCCACATACCAATAAAAAGCCTTTTGCATGAGCCCTTCATTGCAAGGTAGCTTTTTAATTAAAAATGTCTTAACCTGCTGGAGAATATGGAGCACAGAGGAGGTCAATCGAGAGTTCTGTTGTAAGAAAATATCAAGATTCATGTTCAAAAACTGGCAGTCTTACCTGAAATTTGGGATAGAGTGTGTCATCATCTTCAAGCATGTCTCCAAGATAAGATACAGACACGATAGCTCTTTGCCATGGTATGTATTCCGTTTCATTTTTAAGATATCTCGTAAGATTTAAGGCATAAGAATAACTGAGAAGTCTGGCTCTGGGGAAAGTGTGAAAAGGAAAAGAATTCTTCAAAACCTGATCTATTTGGTACAGCCAATAACAATCCAGTTTAGAAGTGCTTACAGTTTCATCTATAGCCTCTGTTCTTTACTTCCTCCTTTTAAGTGTATTTGTTAACTTTAAGAGTTCTAGTATGTTGCTATTGCTGAACTTAATTGTATTATTTTGTTGGTTTAATGCAGAGTATTAAATATGGGCATAGAAAACAAAGCGGAAAATCTATTCAAAGTACTGGAGAGAAATAAACAACCACTAGACTCATAGTCCATGAGAAATCTAAATTCTCCTATTATCTCAGTATTTGTGTATGTGTGTTTTAAAAAGTTCTCTTAAAAATCAAGTACATAATTTGAAAATATTTTCTTGAATATTATCTCAGCTAGACATCAATAGCAAAATATGGTAATATAACACGTCTACATGAATTCATTCCACAAATGCACCTACCTGGCCAATGCAAAAGCATCTTCAAGAAAGCCAGCACGATCACCTTGACTAAAATCCTAGTGGTGATAGAAAATATATTTATTTGCATTCAGCAAACTAGAAGGTCCTCATATTAAAACATACATTTGGTTAAAAGCTATATGATACGCCATAAAACATCTAAATATTGAAATATCTAAAACAATTCCATATAAATAAGAAGCAGTTGATGCTTTTTGGGTGAAATGAAGATGTAGTGAGTCATCTGAACATGTTTATATCTCATCCTTCTCCAAAGAAATATACATAATTCTTTGTTGCCGCTCGTGATGATAGCTCCACAAAGCAGACCAAGTGAAGTAGAGAGGCTGACTAAAAGTTTCATGGCTCAATGGACTTTTGTGCAACATTCTAACAGCTAACTCACTCTGGATGTCACATCCCGTAAACCAAGATCCATATCCATTTCAACAGACTGACCTGGTGGTTGTTCATCATGATATTAGCCAGATCATCCCAAGCTTGTGTTTCATAGTTGACACGATAAAAACCAACATGATTTTTATTCACTTTCAAGAAAGAATTGGGGGGAGGATTGCTGGGCCGTGTAATTGTAATACCTGTGGAGGTGAAGAAAAAACAAAACAAAAGTGGTTGTGTTATGAAGATGTGTCTATAAGAAATATCCTCTGCCCCAAATCCTTGTCATTTTCCAATGTTCTTGTCTGTTTCTCTTGAAAAGTTGTGAATAATATTGCTGAATTTGAGTCATTTCTCACTGTTTTGAAAGCAAAAACATCCTGAGACCAAAATTTCCCCTAAGAAATCTATTGCTTCTTGTCATTAACATTTTTTGTCCTGGCCAATATAATATAACTGCTTTGAGAGAAAAGCAAAGAGTCAATAAATTATAACAACAATATGTTGACAAAGAGAAAGAAAAAGTTTCACAACATTTTTCAGCAAACCATGATGCAAAAAAAAGTGACATACTGTTGACCAACAGTTCTGAACCATGAACCTTGCTTTGATAGCCATTCTCTGTTAATTAAGATTACCTGCAGGTTCTGATTTACTGTAGAATATTGTGTCGGTTGTATTTCCCTCGTACCATTTCACTGGAATATTCCATCTGTAACTGAAAGTTTGAAAAGAAAAGCATTTTCAACTTGAAATACGGACCAACACAGTAAAGGATGCTACAGGGTAAGATTCACATTTGACAGATAGAGGCCAAATATAATTGTTTGTTGTGCTATGTGCCAAGATGCTGCATGTGATGGTGTGGGGCCAGAAACTACTTAAGGCCTGGCAGCCCCTTTACACACCTCTGAGGATCTTCACTTCATGGCACACTCTCCTTCCTCCAGTGCAAAGTGAGTTTTGTCTGCTTACTTTGGGGCCAGGTAGAATTGTTCACTATTTACTTTTATTTATTTATTTTGTTTTACCCTATACTCTGACTGGGGGACGTTGGCAGTTGGTTAAAAGTGTTGCCTGTAAATAGGCTGTTACTGGAAGGTAGTGGGAAGAGAATATATGACTTGGCACCCTTTTAATGAAGGATAAGGTTCTAGAGCAACCTTTTGAGACCCGAGAGCCAAGTGATGGCAAATAAGTGTATTCCTGAGGTTGACCTGGGGTTTATTCTCATTTATAGAGTCCTGGAACTTAGGTGGGTGTGCCCTGAGTTTACCTTCCAGTAAATAGCTGGCTGGGGAGTAACACAAGTAGTGGCTTGCCCTCAGGGCTTAGATGTCCAAGGGAGGCTGAGAAGGTTGTCAAGGTCCATACTGACCTCAGCTGGACCTGCACCAGTTTACTCCCCCTTCTTGCACCTTACCAGGTTCAATACAAATGTAACCTCTTTTTTTTCCCCATTATCCCATGGCTGGTCACCAAATAATTAAAAATATTTGTGAAACCATCTGCAGCAATTAACTATGCTCTTTTTGGATTCAATAGGTGAAAAGGTTTGCATGTTAAGCATTAACTGAGTGGCAAAGTGGTTTTATGAAGGAACAATAGTCAAGGAGTTGGAGAGAGCAGTCCATTATCCCCACAAGGATATTGGAAGGCTAGTATACACCTCTCACCGGCTCTCTCAAACTCATTTTTGTTACATCTGGGTTACTTTTTTAAAAGGCCTCAAACAGGTACAGTCAGGCATGTAGCCAGGGGGGGGGGCTTGGGGGGCTTCAGCCCCCCCCCCCGAAATTCTCAGGGTGGTCCGCGAGAAGGCCTTACTGGTACATTATTTAAACTGTTATGTTTATTCATATCATGATCCGATCACCATGCTCAATATATCCCATATGCATGGGGGTATTGGGGTAACGATACAAAAGGTTTGCTAGGGTAGACCCTCTTTCACTCAGACTCAGCCCCCCCCCCACCGAACCAAACTCAGCCCCCCCCCCCCAATCAAAATCCTGGCTACGGGCCTGGGTACAGTAGGTCTAGGCAAAACCATGTTATTTTGAGGGACTTATTTTTAAGGAGGGGGTTATTGGAAGGTCCTGCAGAGTTAAAATGGCCTTAACTGCCAGCCTCTTCACAACCCTGATTTAATTAACTACTGTATTGCCAGTTTTCACATAAGGCATTTCTATCCTCTTCTTGAGGTCTCCAATTCTGTGACAGAGATGTCTCTCCTAGTGACATTTTGAGATGAAAGGCTGCCTTATTTTAATATGTTTTCAAACAAATTCATTCACCACCTAAACCACCTCAACTGAATTTGTGGTCAAGATAACAGCAGATGATACAAAATTTGTTAAGCTAGATAATATAGTAACAACATTATGCAATAACTGGAGAAAGCTTACTTAAAGTCAGAAGATGGCTGGGAAGGATCTGCTTTGGGATCTAGCAGGAAACGCTTCTGTGTGAGTGTTAAGTTTGAATGCATGCTCAGCACAGGGTATCCCATCTGCCTTGTCCAGGTGTCCATCACTTCTTCAACTGGTTGACCACTTGCCTAAGAACAATAGTAGATGGTCATGATGAGAAAGCCCAATGTGACTAAAGAAAGGTATAACTTTTCTTCTCAGGAGGTGAGAACTACAGAGACAACCGTTTCCTCCCATAAACCGTTTCCTCCCATAAATTCACATTTAGGAACCACATGAGACTAGTGCATCAAAATAAATATTTTAATTGAACATCAGCCATTAGGGAAAGGAGAACTTTAAAAGTATATATTTCTTTCATAGATAGTCATATTTTTGGACTTGGAAATGCTCAAGATATTAAAAGCTGTCCCCAGTGTCTGTCTCAAAACATTACTGAGCCTAAATCTCAAGTAATATATTATTGGCATTATGGCATTAGGAATACTTGGAAAAAAAGAGAATTACTGGTCTGTCCGCCTACGAAGTGTTTGCTGCTTCTATGAAAGAAAAATAGAAATACTAAATATTAAGAATCTATGTACCTCTTCCATTGCTTTCCAGAACTGACTTGTTCTTGCATTTCCAAATACATTGTCTCTCAAATATTTCTGTTGGAGAAAATGAAGAAAGTTAAAATGAAGGCATTATCAATTAGAAAAACTGACTTTTTGCTCCTCTATTGGAGCCTGTTCATGAGTGTGGCCACACTCCTAATGAGAAAGACAGAACCCAGAAAATTTACTTTTTTGGATTATATTTCCCAGAATCAACTACCTACCTTGGTTTGACCATGTTGGGTGGTTGATTCTGGGAATTGTAGTCCAGAAATGTAACTGTTCCAGAGTCAGGTATGACTTGACAAGTGGCAACTTCACATTTTGATTGCACATTTTGGCCAACCAGAGGCCAGCAGGATATAAAAAATGATTTCTTTTATTCTTATTGCTGCTGACTTTCAAGTCCCATCCCCTTTTCTCTTTCCACTACAAAAGTGAAATATATTTTTGTGCACTTCATTTCAAAATTGAAATTCTTTTACCTTGATTTTTCTAATGTAGCTATCTTTGGTGCATTAATCTTGCATGCACAGTGCTTCTCTAAATATTTGATGTGGGGACTGTCACTCACTCCCCCCCCCCCCCCGGAAGCCAGGGATTTCTGCCATTTTATTACTATATTCTTGAAATTTCACTGTTGATCAGCAGCTGGTGGTTCATGGACTGGCTCACAGGCCATGACTTTGAGACGTATTGATTTAATATGCATGTTTTGAGCACATTGGCTCCACTGATTAAAAAAATTGCATTAATTGACAATGTAACATGTTTTAATTGTGCAAATATAGTTCAAATTTATATATAGTTTTGCATGCAATTATATATTTACCAAACATATTTGCAAGTTTGAAAAATATCCTATCCAGATTTTATAAACAAGATGGGCTCAGTTCTCCTGCTAGTTTGAAGAGGTACAAAATTAATATTCCCACATGGAAATATTGAATTTGTTCTCCCCCCACCTCCCAACAATCAGCAAAAGAAAAATGTCATAGGACTTTGCCACTCAAGTTTCTCAATAACTGATATCTTGAAATCAGTTCCTTTCTGTTTCCCTCTTAAATATTTCATGCAAAATGTGGTCAGCAGCCTTGGTACATTGGTCAATTTATTTAATTAATATTTTTTATCCAGTAACATTTACAGTTAGATTTCCATGTCATTTACACACTGTTTACAAGCAGTATTCAAGCAGCTCCAAATGTGTCATTTAAGCAATAAGCACATGATTAGTCAAGAACCAGCCAAATCAAAGAACTGTTTTCAAGATCAGATTCAGGTTGTTTTTCTAAGAATACAAAGCAATCAAATATGTTACTCCTGGACATCATGAGATGTCCTCCAGTGTATGATAGGGGATCACATACAAGCAACAATGCAAGCACTAGGAAACAAGTTCCTTCAAACATAGCGGTGCTTTTGAACTTAGGAAGACAGAAAGAGCATGTGGGCAATTTATTGCCTTCCAGTTATTATTGGACTTCAGCTGCCATCATTTCTCACCACTTTAATACAAACTAGGGCTAGCAATAGCTGCTGGCTTCATGTCAACAGGTGCTAAATCTTCTCTGGGTTTTAGCCTGAACTTCAAAGGAGATGTCTAATGTGCTGGCACTAGTTTAGAATTAAGCTTCAGCACCTTGGACAGCTGAACCTATGTACAATTCTAACATTTTTGATCTGAAACTTGGAGCGATATCACGCCTCATGGGAGCCACGAGCTATAGCCAATAGGTTGTAGTCCAACAAGAACACCTGGATGGCCATAACTTATACACTCCTGTTGTCTATGATTTGGGCAAAACTGCTGAGTATCCAGCAAATTCAAACGCTTGTGGCTAATACACATTTACTGAAAAGATTTACAAGATGAATACAAGGATTTGATTCCCCCCCCCCCAAAAAAAGTCTGTCTTTGGTTTAAACTTAGTCAAAAGCATAACTCTTGTTGACCTCAATTATTTCACTCAATTAGAAGCTATTTATGTAAGAAAGCAGATTGTTCTCATTACACCCTGCTTCACCTTATATTCCTGCTATTCAAGAACATTTCTTAAAATAACCCTCATCCATTTAACCAGACAGGAATTTATAATACAGGTACACCATGCAGCTCTCAGTAAATAAAAACGAACATGGTCGGAATGCTGTCTGTGAGCTCTTCAGTCCTAATTGCATTTTCCAATAAATGTGTCAGGCTACAAAATGCTGACTCCCAATGTCCTTGTCCTATTAAAAGCACTGAAACTTGCTTTCAAAGGCCAAATAATGGTTCCTGCAGCCATGTGAGACTGAGAAAAAGTGTTTTTCACTCTACTGTCAGGGAACAGCTGTGCTTTTGCTGAATTTTCTTTTAAACTCCCTTGCTTGTGTTTTCATCTTTAATTGAGACATAATTCTTCATTTGCCAAACATATACGTGAAGTCAGCTGGAAAACAGAATTGGTATACCTGATAATGAAAATGTATCAGAATTACTTTGCTAGATGTGGTTTTTATGGCTCTAATTCAGGGATAGATACTGCTTTGCCAATTCCTCAGTCCCCGGGCTCCATGAAGACTCCAGTGGATCTGATTTTGAAAGCTAAGCAAGGTCAACCCTAGTCAACACTTTGATGGGAAATCACCAATAAATACTAGGTGTGGTTTATATATCAGAGGAAGGAAATGGCAAAACACCTCTGAGCATTCTTTGAATTAAATAACAATGACATTCATAGGGTCATGAGGTGAATTGAAGGAACATACAGACACATACAGCATACAGCTTAAAATGGAATCTGGGTAGATATACTCCAGGTACTGCCACAGCTGTTCATCTCTGATCTAAAGTAGTGCTTGGTTTGCAGCAAAATTTGGTGTGGTGAGCAACCCTGAACACAAAACACCTTTGATGTGCGAAATTGTATTACAGCATGTGCATAACCATATGGGAATCCAGAGGATCACACTGTTATGCCAAGAGGCAAAAGGAATTCAACAATTTCTTCAAATGAACGAGCAAGTACAAATCATTTTGGTAACATTTACTTTGCCTCCTGGCAGAATGCACAATCTTGGTTGTGTCAGGCAATATACCTAGTGATATAATAGAACCAAGGCTCACATGATTTATGTTCTAAGACTTTTTGACTAATAGAAAAGCAATTGTCATCTGCCAGCAATTCTTCCTTTGAAGTTTAGCTGCAATTTTCCCAGCAACCAGGTGTGGATGGGGTTTTTCCAGCTACAAAATGCTTTTGGGAACTCCCCTCAAATCTATCTGTGCTGCAATTCATTTTCTATTCATAGACTGGTGCCTCTCTTACTACTCCTACCATCACTTCACTTCAAACTTTCCTTTTCTAATATAAAAGTAGCTGTTTACTCTGTGGAATAGATCCTCCATCCATTTCTTCCTAACAACCCCTTAGATCTTGAGTTAGCTGCATGTTGACAGTAGATGGTGCTGTTTGTCTCTGTCTCAGCTACTTCTGTGCTTCCAAAAAGGTAATCGCAGAATAACACTGTCATGACACAATACAACTTTGATGTGTCAGTGTATTGCTTCTTGCCTCTAAAGGTGAAGGTATGGAAACAAAGTTGAAGACTGTATATTCATTTAGGCTGTTAATAATTTTGCCTGTGACAATGATGATGATGATGATAATTTTATTTCTTGCCCACCTCTCCTCATGGCTCAAGGCAGATTACAGCATTACTAAAGCTTAAACAAACACATCAGCATGAGACCAATAACATAAGTATTGCTATTTTTATCACTTTTTAATTACAATAATTATCACTTTTTAATTACAATGGTTATTGGTTATTGCTAGATTGATATTTTAGATTGTGTCTTGAATTTGAACCTTGTTCTCTCTATGTTGTACACCGCTGTGAGTCGCCCCCGGGCTGAGAACAGCGGTCTATAAGTAAAGTAAAGTAAAGTAAAGTAAAGTAAAGTAAAGTAAATAAATAAATAAATAAATAATACTGGTTATTGAATTTAGGCTTGCCTGCGATATAAAATGGAAGAGTAACAATGTGACATGAGAGTACAGCTGTAATTTGCTACTGTAGTACTGTGCTTGGAAATGTTACTCATTTTGATGACAATGTTTATGCTGACTGAAGAATTCTCAATGGGGAATTCTGAGAGCCAGGTATTTTTTGTAGTCCAAACAATAAAATTCACAACCTTTGAAAATTGTTAAAATGAATACATATAACAGAGTTGTTGTTAATCTTGGAAGTTGGAGAAGCAGAAAGAACCTGCAACTTTATATTAAAGTGGTAAAATTAAAAGACAGAGGCAGGAATATCAGAGACTAACCGAGAGAACAAAGTTGGTAGCACAAGTCATTTTAGACTAACAGCCTGACTATTCTAGCCAGAAACCCTGGATTGCATGTCCACATAATGCCCAGGGACCTCTGACCTATAACCAGTTCGCCTAGTTTTATTCTGTGTTAGAATAAGTTGGGAATGCTCTGAAGTTTCCCAAGAACTCTAAAATAGCCTTGCACTTTGGCCAATTGACCTGAGGAAAGGAAGGGGATCTTGAATTGTAATGCCCAGAACTGAGCAAAGTATTCCAGGTGAGGTCTAACCAAAGGAGAATAGAGTGGCTTTATACTGCACTTGATAAGGACAGCGTACTTCTGTTGATATTTACATTTGATTCTTTTTATTGCTGCACCATACTGTAATTTATTTCTGACCACATCAGATGAGCTGATTTGCCTGTTGAATGCTGCTTGCTCTCCATTTTCAACACGGAGCCCATTACATGAAACACATGTACTTCCAGCCAGGCTCTGTGCCAAAAGGGGAGAGCAACTGATGTATGCCACTGCAGCAACACGGGAAGCATCTTGTGTTGCCTTTGGACCAATGGGGGGAAGCTGGGTGGCAACACTTCCCCTCATAGGATGGGATCCAAGATAAGTCAGGTGATGTGGGGCATGGAGTCATGGGTTCTCTACTCCCCTACCGGGATCCCATGAATTCCTTACCCCTTTATAAAGAGGTTCTATGTTCTATGTCCTCTAATGATACCAAATTCCTTA